AAATCCCTGTTTCTCCACTAAAATATCGCTTATTTTCACAGAAATCCCTGTTCTTCCCCTAAAATATCGCTTATTTTCACAGAAATCCCTGTTTTTCCCCTAACATATTGCTTATTTTCATGGAAATCCCTGTTTCTTCCCTAAAATATCGCTTATTTTCCATGAAATCCCTGTTTTTTTCCCTAAAATATCGCTTATTTTCATAGAAATCCCTGTTTCTCCCCTAAAATATCGCTTATTTTCATAGAAATCCCTGTTTTTAACCCTAAAATATCGCTTATTTTCATAGAAATCCCTGTTTCTCCCATAAAATATCGCTTATTTTCACAGAAATCCCTGTTTTTCCCCAAAAATATCGCTTATTTTCACCGAAATCCCTGTTTTTCCCCTGAAATATCGCTTATTTTCCTAGAAATCCCTGTTTTTCCCCTAAAATATCGCTTATTTTCACAGAAATCCCTGTTTTTCCCATTAAATATCTCTTATTTTCCAAGAAATCCCCGTTTTTCCCGTAAAAAAATATTGCTTATTTTCCACAAATCCCTGTTTTTCCCCTAAAATATCGCTTATTTTCCATGAAATCCCTGTTTCTCCCCTAAAATATCGCTTATTTTCACAGAAATCCCTGTTTTTCCACTGAAATATCGCTTATTTTCCTAGAAATCCCTGTTTTTCCAATTGCAAATCGCTAAATATCAAGAAAATCCCTGTTATTCCACTGAAATATCCTGTATTTTCACAGAAATCCCTGTTTCTCCCCAAACTATCGCTCATTTACATAGTAATCCCTGTTTTTCCCCTGAAATATCGCTTATTTTCACAGAAATCCCTGTTTTTCCCCTAAAATATCGCTTATTTTCACAGAAATCCCTGTTTCTCCCCTAAAATATCGCTTATTTTCACAGAAATCCCTGTTTTTCCCTCAAAATATCGCTTATTTTCCTAGAAATCCCTGTTATTCCCCTTAAATATCGCTTATTTTCACAGAAATCCCTGTTTTTCCCCTGAAATATCGCTTATTTTAACAGAAATCCCTGATTCTCCCCTAAAATATCGCTTATTTTCATAGAAATCCCTTTTTTTCCCTTGAAATATCGTTTATTCCCCTAGAAATCCCTGTTCTTCCCCTTAAACTTCGCTTATTTTCACAGAAATCCCTGTTTTTCCCCTAAAATACCGCTTATTTTCATAGAAATCCCACTTTTTCCCCTTACATATCGCTTATTTTCACAGAAATCCCTGTTTTTCCCCTCAAATATCGCTTATTTTCACGGAAATCCCTGTTTTTCCCCTAAAATATAGCTTATTTTCCATGAAATCCCTGTTTTTCCCCTAAAATATCGCTTATTTTCATAGAAATCCCTGTTTCTCCACTAAAATATCGCTTATTTTCACAGAAATCCCTGTTTTTCCCCTGAAATATCGCTTATTTTAACAGAAATCCCTGATTCTCCCCTAAAATATCGCTTATTTTCATAGAAATCCCTTTTTTTCCCTTGAAATATCGTTTATTCCCCTAGAAATCCCTGTTCTTCCCCTTAAACTTCGCTTATTTTCACAGAAATCCCTGTTTTTCCCCTAAAATATTGCTTATTTTCACAGAAATCCCTTATTTTCCCCTAAAATATCGCTTATTTTCATGGAAATCCCTGTTTTTAACCCTAAAATATCGCTTATTTTCATAGAAATCCCTGTTTCTCCCATAAAATATCGCTTATTTTCACAGAAATCCCTGTTTTTCCCCTAAAATATCGCTTATTTTCACGGAAATCCCTGTTTTTCCCCTAAAATATCGATTATTTTCATAGAAATCTCTGTTTGTCACCCGAAAATATCGCTTATTTTCCTAGAAATCCCTCTTCTTCCCCTAAAATATCACCTATTTTCACAGAAATCCCTGTTTTTCCAGTTAAATATCTCTTATTTTCACAGAAATCCCTGTTTTTCCCGTAAAAAAATATCGCTTATTTTCCATGAAATCCCTGTTTTTCCCCTAAAATATCGCTTATTTTCCTAGAAATCCCATTTTTTCTTCCCCTAAAATATCGCTTATTTTCACAGAAATCCCTGTTTTTCCCCTGAAATATCGCTTATTTTCCATGAAATCCCTGTATCTCCCCTAAAATATCGCTTATTTTCACAGAAATCCCTGTTTTTCCCCTAAAATATCGCTTATTTTCCATGAAATCCCTGTTTTTCCCCTAAAATATCGCTTATTTTCATAGAAATCCCTGTTTCTCCCCTAAAATATCGCTGATTTTCACAGAAATCCCTGTTTTTCCCCTAAAATATTGCTTATTTTCATAGAAATCCCTGTTTTTAACCCTACAATATCGCTTATTTTCATTGAAATCCATTTTATTCCACTTGCATATCGCTAAATTTCAAGGAAATCTCTGTTTTTCCACTGAAATATCCCTTATTTTCATAGAAATCGGAGTTTTTCCCCCGAAATATCACTTATTTACAATGAAATCCCTGTTTTTCCGCTAAAATATCGCTTGTTTTCATAGAAATCCCTGTTTTTAACCATAAAATATCGCTTATTTTCACAGAAATCCCTCTTTTTCCCCTAAAATATTGCTTATTTTTATAGAAATCCCTGTTTTTCCACTGAAATATCGCTTATTTTCATAGAAATCCCTGTTTTTCCCCTGAAATATCACTTATTTACATAGAAATCCCCCTTTTTCCCGTGAAATATTGCTGATTTTCACAGAAATCCCTGTTTTTAACCCTAAAATATCGCTTATTTTCATAGAAATCCCTGTTTTTCCCCTGAAATATCACTTATTTACATAGAAATCCCCCTTTTTCCCATGAAATATTGCTGATTTTCACAGAAATCCCTGTTTTTCACCCTAAAATATCGCTTATTTTCATAGAAATCCCTGTTTTTAACCCTGAAATATCGCTTATTTTCCATGAAATCCCTATTTATCCCCAAAAATATCGCTTATTTTCACAGAAATCCCTGTTTTTCACCCTAAAATATCGCTTATTTTCACAGAAATCATGTTTTCCCCATTAAATATCGCTTATTTTCACAGAAATCCCTGTTTCTCCCCTAAAATATCGCTTATTTTCACAGAAATCCCTGTTTTTCTCCTAAGATATCGCTTATTTTCCACAAATCCCTGTTTTTCCCCTAAAATATCTCTTATTTTCCAAGAAATCGCTTTTTTTCCCATTAAATATCGCTTATTTTCATAGAAATCCCTGTTTTTCCCCTAAAATATCGCTTATTTTCCATGAAATCCCTGTTTTTCCCCTGAAAAATATAGCTTATTTTCCATGAAATCCCTGTTTTTCCCCTAAAATATCGCTTATTTTCCATGAAATCCCTGTTTTTCCCCTAAAATATCGCTTATTTTCATAGCAATCCCTGTTTCTCCCCTAAAATATCGCTTATTTTCACAGAAATCCCTGTTTTTCCCCTAAAATATCGCTTATTTTCACTGAAATCCCTGTTTTTCCCCTGAAATGTTGCTTATTTTCACAGAAATCCTTGTTTTTCCCCTAAAATATCGCTTATTTTCACAGAAATCCCTGTTTCTTCACTAAAATATCGCTTATTTTCTCAGAACTCCCTGTTTTTCCCTCAAAATATCCCTTATTTTCCTAGAAATCCCTGTTTCTCCCGCAAAATATCGCTTGTTTTCATAGAAATCCCTGTCTTTATCCCTGAAATATCGCAGATTGTTATAGAAATCCCTTTTTTTCCCCTGAAATATCGCTTATTTTCATGCAAATCCCTGTTTTTCCCCTGAAATATCGCTCATTTTCATAGAAATCCCTGCTTTTCCCCTTCAATATCGCTTATTTTCATAGAAATCCCTGTTTTTCCCCTGAAATGTCGTTTATTCTCCTAGAAATCCCTGTTCTTCCCCTCAAATATTGCTTATTTTCACAGAAATCCCTGTTTTTCCCCTTAAACATCGCTTATTTTCACAGAAATCCCTGTTTTTACCCTCAAATATCGCTTATTTTCACGGAAATCCCTGTTTTTCCCCTAAAATATCGCTTATTGTCATGGAAATCCCTGTTTTTTCCCCTAAAATATAGCTAGTTTTCACAGAAATCCCTGTTTTTCCCCTAAAATATCGCTTATTTTCCATGAAATCCCTGTTTTACCCTTAAAATATTGCTTATTGTCATAGAAATCCCTCTTTTTAACCCTACAATATCGCTTATTTTCATTGAAATCCCTTTTTTTCCACTTGCATATCGCTAAATTTCAAGGAAATCTCTGTTTTTCTACTGAAATATCCCTTATTTTTATAGAAATCGCAGTTTTTCCCATTAAATATCACTTATTTACAATGAAATCCCTGTTTTTCCGCTAAAATATTGCTTATTTTCACAGAAATCCCTGTTTTTAACCATAAAATATCGCTTATTTTCATAGAAATCCCTGTTTTAAACCTAAAATATTGCTTATCTTCATAGAAATCCCTGTTTTTCCACTGAAATATCGCTTGTTTTCATAGAAATCCCTGTTTTTTACCGTAAAATATCGCTTAATTTCAAGGAAATCCCTGTTTTTCCCCTAAAATATCGCTTATTTTCCATGAAATCCCTGTTTGCCATTAAATATCGCTTATTTTCCATGAAATCCCTGTTATTCCCCTAAAATATTGCTTATTTTCATAGAAATCCCTGTTATTCACCCTAAAATATCGCTTATTTTTATAGAAATCCCTGTTTTTAAACTGCAAAATCGCTTATCTTCATAGAAATCCCTGTTTTTAACCATAAAATATCGCTTATTTTCACAGAAATCCCTCTTTTTCCCCTTAAATATCGCTTATTTTTATAGAAATCCCTGTTTTTCCACTGAAATATCCCTTATTTTCATAGAAATCCCTGTTTATCCCTTGAAATATCACTTATTTACATGAAATCCCCCTTTTTCCCCTGAAATATTGCTGATTTTCATAGAAATCCCTGTTTCTAACCCTACAATATCGCTTATTTTCATAGAAATCCCTGTTTGTCACCCTAAAATATCGCTTATTTTCATAGAAATCCCTGTTTTTAACCCTGAAATATCGCTTATTTTCACAGAAATCCTTGTTTTTCCCTCAAAATATCGCTTAGTTTCACAGAAATCCCTGTTTTTCCCTCAAAATATCGCTTATTTTCACAGAAATCCCTGTTTATCCACTTAAATATCTCTTATTTTCCAAGAAATCCCCGTTTTTCCCGTAAAAAAATATCGCTTATTTTCACAGAAATCCCTGATTTTCCCCCTAAAATATAGCTAGTTTTCCATGAAATCCCTGTTTTTCCACTAAAATATCGCTTAATTTCAAGGAAATCCCTGTTTTTCCACTGAAATATTGCTTATTTTCATAGAAATCCCTGTTTTTAACTCCGAAATATTGCTTATTTTCATAGAAATCCCTGTTTTTAACCCTAAAATATCGCTTATTTTTATAGAAATCCCTGTTTTTAAACTGCAGAATCGCTTATCTTCATAGAAATCCCTGTTTTTAACCCTAAGGTATCTCTGATTTTCACAGAAATCCCTGTTTTTCCCCTAAAATATTGCTTATTTTCATAGAAATCCCTGTTTTTCCCTAAAATATCGCTTATTTTCACAGAAATACCTGTTTTTCCCCTAAAATATAGCTTATTTTCATAGAAATCCCTGTTTTTCCCCTAAAATATCGCTTATTTTCATGGAAATCCCTCTTTTTCTCCTAAAATATTGCTTATTTTCATGGAAATCCCTGTTTTTCCACTAAAATATCGCTTAATTTCAAGGAAATCCCTGTTTTTCCACTGAAATATTGCTTATTTTCATAGAAATCCCTGTTTTTAACTCCGAAATATTGCTTATTTTCATAGAAATCCCTGATTTTAACCCTAAAATATCGCTTATTTTTATAGAAATCCCTGTTTTTAAACTGCAAAATCGCTCATCTTCATAGAAATCCCTGTTTTTAACCATAAAATATCGCTTATTTTCACAGAAATCCCTGTTTTCAACCCCAAAATATTGCTTATTTTCATAGAAATCCCTGTTTTTCCCTAAAATATTCTTATTTTCACAGAAATACCTGTTTTTCCCCTAAAATATAGCTTATTTTCATAGAAATCCCTGTTTTTCCCCTGAAATATCGCTTATTTTCATGGAAATCCCTGTTTTTCACCCTAAAATATCGCTTATTTTCATAGAACTCCCTGTTTCTCCCATAAAATATCGCTTATTTTCACAGAAATCCCTGTTTTTCCCCTAAAATATCGCTTATTTTCCACAAATCCCTGTTTTTCCCCTAAAATATCGCTTATTTTCATAGAAATCCCTGTTTTTCCCCTAAAATATCGCTTATTTTCATAGAAATCCCTGTTTTTCCCCTAAAATATCGCTTATTTTCCATGAAATCCCTGTTTTTCCCCTAAAATATCGCTTATTTTCACAGAAATCCCTGTTTTTCCCCTAAAATATTGCTTATTTTCACAGAAATCCCTGTTTTTCCCCTAAAATATTGCTTATTTTCATAGAAATCCCTGTTTCTCCCCTAAAATATTGCTTATTTTCACAGAAATCCCTGTTTTTCCCCTAAAATATCGCTTATTTTCACAGAAATCCCTGTTTTTCCCCTGAAATGTTGCTTATTTTCACAGAAATCCCTGTTTTTAACCCTAAAATATCGCTTATTTTCACAGAAATCCCTGTTTCTTCACTAAAATATCGCTTATTTTCTCAGAAATCCCTGTTTTTCCCTCAAAATATCCCTTATTTTCCTAGGAATCCCTGTTTCTCCCGCAAAATATCGCTTGTTTTCATAGAAATCCCTGTCTTTATCCCTGAAATATCGCAGATTTTTATAGAAATCCCTTTTTTTCCTCTTAAATATCGCTTATTTTCATGCAAATCCCTGTTTTTCCCCTAAAATATAGCTTATTTTCACAGAAATCCCTGTTTATCCCCTAAAATATCGCTTATTTTCATAGAAATCCCTGTTTCTCCCCTAAAATATCGCTTATTTTCCTAAAAATCCCTGTTTTTCCCCTAAAATATCGCTTATTGTCATGGAAATCCCTGTTTTTTCCCCTAAAATATAGCTAGTTTTCACAGAAATCCCTGTTTTTCCCCTAAAATATCGCTTATTTTCCATGAAATCCCTGTTTTACCCCTAAAATATTGCTTATTGTCATAGAAATCCCTCTTTTTAACCCTACAATATCGCTTATTTTCATTGAAATCCCTTTTTTTCCACTTGCATATCGCTAAATTTCAAGGAAATCTCTGTTTTTCTACTGAAATATCCCTTATTTTTATAGAAATCGCAGTTTTTCCCATTAAATATCACTTATTTACAATGAAATCCCTGTTTTTCCGCTAAAATATTGCTTATTTTCACAGAAATCCCTGTTTTTAACCATAAAATATCGCTTATTTTCATAGAAATCCCTGTTTTAAACCTAAAATATTGCTTATCTTCATAGAAATCCCTGTTTTTCCACTGAAATATCGCTTGTTTTCATAGAAATCCCTGTTTTTTACCGTAAAATATCGCTTAATTTCAAGGAAATCCCTGTTTTTCCCCTAAAATATCGCTTATTTTCCATGAAATCCCTGTTTGCCATTAAATATCGCTTATTTTCCATGAAATCCCTGTTATTCCCCTAAAATATTGCTTATTTTCATAGAAATCCCTGTTATTCACCCTAAAATATCGCTTATTTTTATAGAAATCCCTGTTTTTAAACTGCAAAATCGCTTATCTTCATAGAAATCCCTGTTTTTAACCATAAAATATCGCTTATTTTCACAGAAATCCCTCTTTTTCCCCTTAAATATCGCTTATTTTTATAGAAATCCCTGTTTTTCCACTGAAATATCCCTTATTTTCATAGAAATCCCTGTTTTTCCCTTGAAATATCACTTATTTACATGAAATCCCCCTTTTTCCCCTGAAATATTGCTGATTTTCATAGAAATCCCTGTTTCTAACCCTACAATATCGCTTATTTTCATAGAAATCCCTGTTTGTCACCCTAAAATATCGCTTATTTTCATAGAAATCCCTGTTTTTAACCCTGAAATATCGCTTATTTTCACAGAAATCCTTGTTTTTCCCTCAAAATATCGCTTAGTTTCACAGAAATCCCTGTTTTTCCCTCAAAATATCGCTTATTTTCACAGAAATCCCTGTTTATCCACTTAAATATCTCTTATTTTCCAAGAAATCCCCGTTTTTCCCGTAAAAAAATATCGCTTATTTTCACAGAAATCCCTGATTTTCCCCCTAAAATATAGCTAGTTTTCCATGAAATCCCTGTTTTTCCACTAAAATATCGCTTAATTTCAAGGAAATCCCTGTTTTTCCACTGAAATATTGCTTATTTTCATAGAAATCCCTGTTTTTAACTCCGAAATATCGCTTATTTTCACAGAAATCCCTGTTTTTAACCCTAAAATATAGCTAGTTTTCCATGAAATCCCTGTTTTTCCACTAAAATATCGCTTAATTTCAAGGAAATCCCTGTTTTTCCACTGAAATATTGCTTATTTTCATAGAAATCCCTGTTTTTAACTCCGAAATATTGCTTATTTTCATAGAAATCCCTGATTTTAACCCTAAAATATCGCTTATTTTTATAGAAATCCCTGTTTTTAAACTGCAAAATCGCTCATCTTCATAGAAATCCCTGTTTTTAACCATAAAATATCGCTTATTTTCACAGAAATCCCTGTTTTCAACCCCAAAATATTGCTTATTTTCATAGAAATCCCTGTTTTTCCCTAAAATATCGCTTATTTTCACAGAAATACCTGTTTTTCCCCTAAAATATAGCTTATTTTCATAGAAATCCCTGTTTTTCCCCTGAAATATCGCTTATTTTCATGGAAATCCCTGTTTTTCACCCTAAAATATCGCTTATTTTCATAGAACTCCCTGTTTCTCCCATAAAATATCGCTTATTTTCACAGAAATCCCTGTTTTTCCCCTAAAATATCGCTTATTTTCCACAAATCCCTGTTTTTCCCCTAAAATATCGCTTATTTTCATAGAAATCCCTGTTTTTCCCCTAAAATATCGCTTATTTTCATAGAAATCCCTGTTTTTCCCCTAAAATATCGCTTATTTTCCATGAAATCCCTGTTTTTCCCCTAAAATATCGCTTATTTTCACAGAAATCCCTGTTTTTCCCCTAAAATATTGCTTATTTTCACAGAAATCCCTGTTTTTCCCCTAAAATATTGCTTATTTTCATAGAAATCCCTGTTTCTCCCCTAAAATATTGCTTATTTTCACAGAAATCCCTGTTTTTCCCCTAAAATATCGCTTATTTTCACAGAAATCCCTGTTTTTCCCCTGAAATGTTGCTTATTTTCACAGAAATCCCTGTTTTTAACCCTAAAATATCGCTTATTTTCACAGAAATCCCTGTTTCTTCACTAAAATATCGCTTATTTTCTCAGAAATCCCTGTTTTTCCCTCAAAATATCCCTTATTTTCCTAGGAATCCCTGTTTCTCCCGCAAAATATCGCTTGTTTTCATAGAAATCCCTGTCTTTATCCCTGAAATATCGCAGATTTTTATAGAAATCCCTTTTTTTCCTCTTAAATATCGCTTATTTTCATGCAAATCCCTGTTTTTCCCCTAAAATATAGCTTATTTTCACAGAAATCCCTGTTTATCCCCTAAAATATCGCTTATTTTCATAGAAATCCCTGTTTCTCCCCTAAAATATCGCTTATTTTCCTAAAAATCCCTGTTTTTCCCCTAAAATATCGCTTATTGTCATGGAAATCCCTGTTTTTTCCCCTAAAATATAGCTAGTTTTCACAGAAATCCCTGTTTTTCCCCTAAAATATCGCTTATTTTCCATGAAATCCCTGTTTTACCCCTAAAATATTGCTTATTGTCATAGAAATCCCTCTTTTTAACCCTACAATATCGCTTATTTTCATTGAAATCCCTTTTTTTCCACTTGCATATCGCTAAATTTCAAGGAAATCTCTGTTTTTCTACTGAAATATCCCTTATTTTTATAGAAATCGCAGTTTTTCCCATTAAATATCACTTATTTACAATGAAATCCCTGTTTTTCCGCTAAAATATTGCTTATTTTCACAGAAATCCCTGTTTTTAACCATAAAATATCGCTTATTTTCATAGAAATCCCTGTTTTAAACCTAAAATATTGCTTATCTTCATAGAAATCCCTGTTTTTCCACTGAAATATCGCTTGTTTTCATAGAAATCCCTGTTTTTTACCGTAAAATATCGCTTAATTTCAAGGAAATCCCTGTTTTTCCCCTAAAATATCGCTTATTTTCCATGAAATCCCTGTTTGCCATTAAATATCGCTTATTTTCCATGAAATCCCTGTTATTCCCCTAAAATATTGCTTATTTTCATAGAAATCCCTGTTATTCACCCTAAAATATCGCTTATTTTTATAGAAATCCCTGTTTTTAAACTGCAAAATCGCTTATCTTCATAGAAATCCCTGTTTTTAACCATAAAATATCGCTTATTTTCACAGAAATCCCTCTTTTTCCCCTTAAATATCGCTTATTTTTATAGAAATCCCTGTTTTTCCACTGAAATATCCCTTATTTTCATAGAAATCCCTGTTTTTCCCTTGAAATATCACTTATTTACATGAAATCCCCCTTTTTCCCCTGAAATATTGCTGATTTTCATAGAAATCCCTGTTTCTAACCCTACAATATCGCTTATTTTCATAGAAATCCCTGTTTGTCACCCTAAAATATCGCTTATTTTCATAGAAATCCCTGTTTTTAACCCTGAAATATCGCTTATTTTCACAGAAATCCTTGTTTTTCCCTCAAAATATCGCTTAGTTTCACAGAAATCCCTGTTTTTCCCTCAAAATATCGCTTATTTTCACAGAAATCCCTGTTTATCCACTTAAATATCTCTTATTTTCCAAGAAATCCCCGTTTTTCCCGTAAAAAAATATCGCTTATTTTCACAGAAATCCCTGATTTTCCCCCTAAAATATAGCTAGTTTTCCATGAAATCCCTGTTTTTCCACTAAAATATCGCTTAATTTCAAGGAAATCCCTGTTTTTCCACTGAAATATTGCTTATTTTCATAGAAATCCCTGTTTTTAACTCCGAAATATTGCTTATTTTCATAGAAATCCCTGTTTTTCCCCTAAAATATCGCTTATTTTCATGGAAATCCCTCTTTTTCTCCTAAAATATCACTTATTTTCATGGAAATCCCTGTTTTTCCACTAAAATATCGCTTAATTTCAAGGAAATCCCTGTTTTTCCACTGAAATATTGCTTATTTTCATAGAAATCCCTGTTTTTAACTCCGAAATATTGCTTATTTTCATAGAAATCCCTGATTTTAACCCTAAAATATCGCTTATTTTTATAGAAATCCCTGTTTTTAAACAGCAAAATCGCTCATCTTCATAGAAATCCCTGTTTTTAACCATAAAATATCGCTTATTTTCACAGAAATCCCTGTTTTCAACCCCAAAATATTGCTTATTTTCATAGAAATCCCTGTTTTTCCCTAAAATATCGCTTATTTTCACAGAAATACCTGTTTTTCCCCTAAAATATAGCTTATTTTCATAGAAATCCCTGTTTTTCCCCTGAAATATCGCTTATTTTCATGGAAATCCCTGTTTTTCACCCTAAAATATCGCTTATTTTCATAGAACTCCCTGTTTCTCCCATAAAATATCGCTTATTTTCACAGAAATCCCTGTTTTTCCCCTAAAATATCGCTTATTTTCCACAAATCCCTGTTTTTCCCCTAAAATATCGCTTATTTTCATAGAAATCCCTGTTTTTCCCCTAAAATATCGCTTATTTTCATAGAAATCCCTGTTTTTCCCCTAAAATATCGCTTATTTTCCATGAAATCCCTGTTTTTCCCCTAAAATATCGCTTATTTTCACAGAAATCCCTGTTTTTCCCCTAAAATATTGCTTATTTTCACAGAAATCCCTGTTTTTCCCCTAAAATATTGCTTATTTTCATAGAAATCCCTGTTTCTCCCCTAAAATATTGCTTATTTTCACAGAAATCCCTGTTTTTCCCCTAAAATATCGCTTATTTTCACAGAAATCCCTGTTTTTCCCCTGAAATGTTGCTTATTTTCACAGAAATCCCTGTTTTTAACCCTAAAATATCGCTTATTTTCACAGAAATCCCTGTTTCTTCACTAAAATATCGCTTATTTTCTCAGAAATCCCTGTTTTTCCCTCAAAATATCCCTTATTTTCCTAGGAATCCCTGTTTCTCCCGCAAAATATCGCTTGTTTTCATAGAAATCCCTGTCTTTATCCCTGAAATATCGCAGATTTTTATAGAAATCCCTTTTTTTCCTCTTAAATATCGCTTATTTTCATGCAAATCCCTGTTTTTCCCCTAAAATATAGCTTATTTTCCATGAAATCCCTGTTTATCCCCTAAAATATCGCTTATTTTCATAGAAATCCCTGTTTCTCCCCTAAAATATCGCTTATTTTCCTAAAAATCCCTGTTTTTCCCCTAAAATATTGCTTATTTTCATAGAAATCCCTGTTTTTGCCTCAAATATCACTTATTTTCATAGAAATCCCTGTTTTTTCCCCTAAAATATAGCTCATTTTCCATGAAATCCCTGTTTTTTCCCTAAAATATCACTTATTTTCCATGAAATCCCTGTTTTTCCCCTAAAATATCGCTTATTTTCATAGAAATCCCTGTTTTAACCTGAAATATCGCTTATTTTCACAGAAAACCTGTTTTTTTTTTACTTGAATATCGCTAAATTTCAAGGAAACCTCTGTTTTTCCACAGAAATAATCTTTATTTTCATAGAAATCGCTGTTTTTCCCATTAAATATCGCTTATTTACAATGAAATCCCTGTTTTTCCCCTAAAATATTGCTTATTTTCATAGAAATCTCTGTTTTTAACCCTAAAATATCACTTATTTTTATAGAAATCCCTGTTTTTAAACTGCAAAATCGCTTATTTTCATACAAATCCCTGTTTTTAACCCTGAAATATCGCTTATTTTCACAGAAATCCCTCTTTTTCCCCTAAAATATCGCTTATTTTCACAGAAATCCCTGTTTTTCCACTGAAATATCCCTTATTTTCATAGAAATCCCTGTTTTTCCCATTAAATATTGTTTATTTTCATAGAAATCCCTGTTTTTCACCCTAAAATATCGCTTATTTTCATGGAAATCCCTGTTTGTCACCCTAAAATATCGCTTATTTTCATGGAAATCCCTGTTTTTAACCCTAAAATACCGCTTATTTTCACAGAAATCCCTGTTTTTCCCATTAAATATCGCTTATTTTCTCACAAATCCCTGTTTTTCCCTCAAAATGTCGCTTATTTTCCATGAAATCCCTGTTTTTCCCCTAAAATATCGCT